TCCTATTTAGTGTCATATTTTCATTTAGTTCTAGTAATTTAAGACCATTTTTTATACAATAAGCCCAAGTCTTCCTAGGTCTACCTCTGCCTTTCTTAACACAAGTCGAATCTAAAACATCTACTCTCCTAATCGGATCATCAGATGGTCGACGTTTAATGTGACCAAACCATCAGATGGTCGGCCTCTCATTCTCCTAAAAATTAAGATCATCAGTCTGTCACAGGAGCTACTCCAACCCTATCACGAAGATATTCATTCCGCATTTTGTCTCTAAGTGTAAAGCCACTCATCCACCTAATCATTCTCATCTCGACAACACTTAACTTATTATTATGCTTCTATTTTAAAGGCCAACATTCAGCTCCATAGAGAATTGGAGGTCTCACCACCGTCTTATAAAATTTTCCTTTCAGTCTTAGCGGTACTTTTCTATCACACAAAAGGCCCGAAGCATTCCTCCACTTCAACCAACCAACTTGAATTCTACTATTAGCATCCCCATCTATATCACCATCGCTTTGGACAACGGACCCAAGATATCTAAATCGTTCACACCTTTTAATATCTACTGTTGTTGTTGTTGTTGTCGATACTAATATATACAAGATAAAATTGCACCCCTAGAATAAAAAAACCTTTAAGGTTACTAACTTTCTTTATAATCTCAAACTATTCCACTATGAAATTTTATTTTTATTTTATTAATGATATTGTAGCAAAATTTTGACCTTTACAATCATCTCACTAATATTTTAGTACTAATTGAGCGCATTTCCATATCGCCCCTCCCCAATCTTTTGTCTAATTAATAATACTTATTTATCTTATTTCTTGATAGAAGTGCTGCATTCTATAACTCAAATATTAACATTGCTAGTTGCAGCTTGACTCAGCACTCATAGCAGATGTTGCTCATGGTGAATTCAAAGAAGATTTGTTCATCAATGGTGGTCGAGAATACCCGATAGATGAAGACGAGGACAGCAAAAACGCAAACACAAGTGGCACAGCGCGCCCTCACGATTCAAATTACTCCGTCTCTCCCAAGGAGCTCAGCATAAGACTTCACCGAGTGATCGAAAGCAGACTCGAGGAAAGGATCAAAGAACTCGAGAGCGCGCTCGAGCAAAGCCAAATGAAGCTCAAGCTGGCCGAAGCGGAGAGGCTGAGTTCAAAACCGCCATTTTCAAGCAGTGATGGTTCGGAATCGTCGAAGCAGAATGAGTCGAGCTCGCGATTGGATTTAGCCGGTGATGCGTTGGTTGCCTATGATGAGGCTTATGGGGAGCTCATGAGATTGGCTGAGACGGAGGATGAGAAATTGGTGTCATCTATTGGTGCTGGGGATGATAAGAATGAACAAGTATGGGAGCAGATAGGGTGGAGAAGTGGTTCTTATGAAATTTCGGGTACGGAGGAGGAGGAGGAAGAAGAAGATGATGATGATGATAGTTTTGACGAGGGGAGGGATTTGATACAGAAAATAGTGGAGAAAACTAAGCAGGGATCACCTGCTCTGTTGAATGCACAGAGATTGTTTTTTTTCATGGATTTGTGATTTTTTTTTCTTTTTTGTAAGGTGGTTCATAGCAGATTAGAACATATAGAAGTATTAGTTAGATTGCGGTGGAATAGGAATGAATTCCCTTTTCATTGTTTATTTGGCTTAGGCAGCTTGTCAGGACAATAGTTCAGATGTGGTCACACTGTCGTGTATTGCCTATTCGGACGTACAGCCGCAGCACCTGCACTTAATAATTTCTCGTCAGATTGCTTGTTTTAGTTCTCAATACATGAAGTGTAAGGCAAATTTTCGAAGGAGTATTACATGCATACCACTTAATGCCTATGTATTTATGTGTAAAACTTAAAATTTTAAATTTTTGCATTATATGCCACTACTTAATACATGAAAATATACGTATCTTTAAATATTAAAATAATAACATTTTTAATGTGATGTTATAAATTCGGGTGATAAAAATGTAAAAATTAAAATTTGTTAGAAATGAATATATATATATATATATATATATATATAACAATTGGTTGATATTTATGTTAATGCTCCTTTTAATGAGAGTTTCAAATTAGGAATAAAATATGAAATTCAATCATAGAGCACACTCTATGAGCCCTCATAAGTTACCTTGTTCATAATGAAATATATATATATTATTGAGAACTAATGTTATAATAAAATAATTATTAAAAAATCACTTCCTATAAAAATTAAAATACAAAATTATAAATATTTTCAATAAATTAAAAAAATTTAAATTTTAATATATTTAAAAATATTTTTTAACAAATTTTTTTTAAATGACCCAACTCTCGAACTAATGAGTTAAGGCTGGCCTGAGTTTTGCTAGTTAGCTCATCAAGGCCATAAGTTGAGCCCGAACCAACTTAATAGTGGGCCGGGCACACATACACGACTAACTTAATCGGAGCGTAATAATAAATTGATTTAAAATAAAAATATTACATTTGAGATTTTGTTTCCAAGTCATCAGACTTTTTCTTATTTACAAAATTATTACCCATCCAAACATAGTGTATTAAAACAGCCAAATATTTACACGGCATGAGAACTGAAGATTAGGGCAGGATATCATCAGAGTTGATAAAAAGTAGGTTTTGAAGCACGCTTTGAAACAGTCGTGCCATCCTTATCAAATTAAGGACACACATACAACACCACAACCCAATAAATAAAAACAAATTAAAAACCTGATGAATATTAAATAGGTCATTCACATACATACCACCCTATTTATGCACCAAAATCTCACATCACATAAAAAATAACACTTTCTTTTTTTTTTACTTTTAGAAAAAAAAAATAAACCTTTTCACGTGTTTTCTATAAAAGTTATATATAATCTTGAAAGATTTACATACAACTTAGGATCTATTTTATCATACAATCGTAAATTTATTTAATAATAATAATAATATACATACAAAATATGACAACACGAATCTCAAGGCAAATGAATAGCTCAAGAGGAAGGCACGACCGATCGAACACATCTTTTGACGACCATTTGGAAAGACGATCATTCTAGTTGAATGCTGACGAAAGAGGCGCCTAGATCGATCGATCGATAGAACATTACAGAAGATTCCTTTTACAGCAGTGATCAGCCCTAAGCCGATCAGTGAGAGGCATCCTTTCGGATTTAATATCGCTGGAGTCAAGGCTTAGTAAACAACTCACAAACATCCTATTGATCGAATTAGTCCTTCAGTCTTATTATATACTAATACCTCTGTAATTACCAAAAAAATCCATCTAAAAACTCCATAATGAAGGGATTAATACTTTTGTAATACCATGACATAATCTTTCAATCGAACCTCAACTAAATTCTTCGAAGCCCCACAAGCCGAAACAACTAAAACTAAACCCATCATAAGAGAAATAAAAAAGAAAAAAAAAAGGCCAGAAAGAACACGGGAAAAAAACTAGAACTACAAAATGATGTTCAGTTCACAGAAATAATACACGCTTTCAATTTATGAAAAGACAATAAAATAAAAACACATTCAAAGCACTCAAAAACTTCTTCCATTCCAATATGCGAATTAGAAATAAAACTAACCTCTTTTATTTGCATAATCATCATCATCATCATCATCGAAATCATCCTTGAATTTATCATCCAGCTTTTCCTGATTGCCATAATTAAAGCCTTTGTTGGTGTTCGAATTGAATAGATCAGAACTACCTCCAAATCCTGCAGAGCTGCTGCTGCTACCCTGGCTTTGTCCAAATGCTCCACCACCACCATAGCTTTCATTCCCACCAACACCTCCGGCAACATAATTGCCACCCCCACTCCCGCCATTATAGCCACCTGCAGCTCCTCCACCATAGCCACCACCTCCGCCGAAACCGGAACCATCACCGCCACCATAGCCTCCGCCGCCACCACTGTAGCCTCCACCGCCATACCCGCCACCGTAACTGCCACCGCCGTATCCACCACCACCATATCCACCGCCGCCAAAGCCAGAGCGACGATCAGTAGCATAGTTAACTCTCACCATGCGGCCTTGGAGCTCCTGTATACGATCAAAACATGTGGTACACATCCAAAATTTTTTTGGGAAATTTACATACATAACACCAAATTTGTATGTAGCACATAACACCTAAACTTTACTTTTTATACTTAATATCACCCAAATCTTTTGTATCACAAAAAAAATACCACCATTGTTACTTTAAAAAAGGCGAAATAGACCTTTTTTTATGCATAGGAAAAGTGTTATACATATAAAAATTGAAGTTCAGAAGTTAGATATGTAAATACATAGAAATTAAGTGGCATGCAATGTAAATCTAACATTTTTTTATTCAAAGAAGAGTTTCAGAGCACTTCATCTATTTTGGCATTATTGCAATACCAACTATATTTGTAATGCATTCAACTCAAAATAGATACAAGGTCTTTGAGGACAATCTTGAGCAAACATTTATTTACAATATCTTGACCTATTTTTTTCCTCTATAAAGCAGAAACATCAATCATGAAATTTTCAAGTTATATAAAGTATATGGTAGAATACCAAAGTTTAATCAACAAGGGACAGATAATATATCTGCTTGCAACAAGTACTATAGATGGCAGCACAAATGCCAGAGAAAAAAAAAAACCAAATTAATATATCTATATCCACACACACACACACACACACACACACGAGCTTTATATCAAATATTATTTCGATTCTTAACCAAGCTTCATCATGAGTTGAGCTGATACTATTGATTATCATGAAAGAGTTGAGGAGCAAATTGTTCAAACCCATTTATCTAACAAAGTACTATAAAAGTGTTTTGAGTTTGTTCAATTCTTGATTAAATTATCATGTTCGAACTCTAATCAAGCTTAGCTATGAGTAGTTTATCAAACGCCCTGTTTGTTTGCAGCCCTGAATGCAAGTTAGCTCAGTTGTGGTGAAAAAGCAATAATTAACTAGGTTTTTAAGATTAGATTTGCCACTTATAATTTAAGTTTAAAAGAGAAGATAAAAAATTGATGTACACTATGATAAAATGAGGAGTCAATATTGTTTTTTTATAAGAAACTAAAAGGAAAGGACACTAGGGAAGAATATATATTATTGTATACTGAAAATATAAAGAATAAAAATTGGGTAGGACAAATAGTTCAGCTTATGAAGATGAATTAGGATAATGTGATTGTTATCAAAATCGTTATCAAAAGGTAAATTATTTCTTAGAAGAGTATATGTTTTAAATATGAACATGTTAAGAAAGGTAGAGGTAGACCTAAAAATACATAGGCATGTTAAATAAGAAATTATGTTAATCTATTAAAATTAAATGAAAATATGACACTCAATAGGACACTATGGAGAAAAATGATTCATGTAGCCGACCCCACTGGAATGACATAAAGGCTTGTTGTTGTTTGTTGGTTGTTTGCACCTCAAATTCATTAGAAGATAGTTTAAGATATAAATTTAGGAAAGATGCAGATGAACAACATACAAAACACATACAAGAAAGATGACTATTGGGAGTGATTTAAATAAGCATGTAGATTGAGAAATGTAGAGTCATGATAGGATTTATGATAGTTGTAGAATAGGGAATGGAAATACAATGAAAGAAGCAATAATTGATTTTACAATAGCCTACAATATGGTAATAGCGAATGTATGCTACATAAAATGAGATCAGCTGTTTAGTTAGAAAAAATGGAGCCGCTAAACTACAAATAGTTTTTTTCTTGATTAAAGAAAAATCTTCCTATGAAGGACCACAAAGTAATTTTGAAAGAAAGAAAATGCAACAGGTGATTCAATATTCATTATGCGAACATAAAAGACGAATCAAAGAAATTTGATTAAAATTAAAAGGCAAGAAGCTATTAATCTTCCATGATGCGCAGAGTCAAAACATTTTTTTTTAATTCAGTCAAACTTTATTTTGGATAGTATAGTTAATGCCATTAAGTTGATTGTTAAGTTTTAGCTCCATAAAGACGAGTAAGGGAAAGAATTTGAGCCTGCCCATTCAGATTTGGTATTTATATTTACGAAAGTGATGGTTAAAAATTGAGCTGACTACAAATTCAAACTTTTGAATGATGCCTTAAGACTATAGGGCCTTATTTTACACCATGAAAATTAATTTGCTGTGCTTCAAAGCTGAAATTTGTGTATCAAATAAATGTAGGAATCATTGATAATAGATATTATTGAGCAATGAGCGATAATATAAATAGTTGTAAGGCGACGTGAGAGTTTCAAATTATCATTGAGTTTACGACAAGGATTGATATCGAGTTCGTAACTTTTTGTATTGGTTATATAGATGCCTAAATAAGATATTTAGTGTCATTATGCTTGATTTTTACAGGCGATAAATTCTAAATGAAAAATTAAAATAAAAAAATGTTTATTAGGTAGAGATCTTATAAATCATTAAATAAAGACTAAACATATAATATGCAATTATAGTACCTGATATTAATGATTATAATTTGATATCAATAAGTTTCTTGAATTTATTTTAAAGAATAATGAAAATATAGATGAGGATAAAACTTCTAAAATAGAAGTTTCTTAAGATCTCTGTATGATCAAAGAATATAATGGATACACAAAGGTGAATTTTACTAAACTGCAATTAGTTATCAATGTTGTGTTGACAGTAGTTGTTCAAAATAATTTTTAAGAGAGATGTTTAAAATTTCAGATAACACCGTACTACAATAGTTAGTGTGAACAAATGAAGAATAAGGATTAATAATATCAAAATCACATAGTTAGGAAAAGGCTAATGATGATGAAGTTCTGCAAATGTCTAAGCTGGAGTTGTCTTTCAAAATCTAACAAAATTGTGACTGCCATTTCTCATTATGAAAAAAAAAAATTCAATAATACGTGAAAATTAAGCTAACAATATTTCACCGCTAATTAATCTATACTTAAGTCACAACCATCAAGTTAAGAAACCCAAATACTAAAGATCAAAATCGCAAGTACCTTCCCATCCATGGCAGTTACAGCAGCAGAAGCCTCTTCAGTAGATGTAAAGGTTATAAAGCCAAAACCCCTTGACCTCCCAGTTTCACGATCAACAATAACCCGAGCTGAAAAAAAAAATATCCGAATTGGTTGTTAAATAGCACAAAGCCATAAAACATAAAATAATATAAATTAGCAAATTAAGAAATCGTACCCTCAAGAACTTCACCATAGCCAGAGAATGCTTCTCTTAAACTCTGATCATCTGTTCCGTAAGATAGTCCTATAGGATCGCATTACAAGCATGGAGAGCAGTTAGTCATTTCACAGATGAAAAAATTCAGGAGTAAAAACCAATATAAGGTACAAACAGACCTCCGACAAAGAGTTTCGATGAAGACATCATCCGTACTGCCTGATAGATTGAAGGCTTGGAGGACACAACATACTTGAGAAGACTCCCGATTTTATTGGCAAAAGCCATGACTCAAATCTTCAACAAAAAAAATAACATAAGGCATGTAACAGAATACTAGTAATTCGGAGTAAATCATGCAATCCTTCATATAAATAAACAACGATTCTTCAGAAAAAATAAAGGCCCTCATATTATCAATGCAAAAGCAACAGAGAATCAACAACAAGAGATAAAAAGCCCCATGCTGATCTAAAGAGAACATCAAATACCAAAAGATTCCTGTCCACCCAGCAACAAAGGCAGATTATAGAGAGCTCAAAAAGATAAAAATAGCCAGAAAAGAGCACAAATAATCAGAAATTTCAATCCATAAGCAGCAATCCGCACAAAAAACAGTACAAAAACCCTAATAACCATGAAGACCGATTGAGGTAGAGAAAGAGAGAGGATTTTGATCAAGATTAAGTTTCCAACTCTTACATTTGCTCCGATAGCTTTCACTCGGCCAAAAACCCTACCGTCTTCGGTCCGAGAGGGTTTAAAGGCGGTGGTCAATCAATATTTATAGAATCTATGGGAATATCCTGACCGCTGGTTGATATCAATTGCTGAATCATAACTTAAGAATTATCTGGACCGTTGATTTTGGGCAGATATTTTGTCCAGGTCAAGTGTTCCGCAGGAAGATAAGAGTAATAATACTTCGGTTCATCCTTGCCGTCCATCTTGAATTTCGTCTGTTTATAAGGGTGCTTGCGAACGACAAAGCTTTGCATCCTTGACACAACCTAATAATACTTTTAGTTGCACTGGTGGCGACTGCTTTTAAATAATGAACGACAAAGCTTTGCATCCTTCAATCTAATATGGATTTTTTAACTCAGCTATGAGTCAGACAAAAGAAAAATACAAAATTTTACGTGCATGCCACACGAATTTTATGTATTTGCATATCCAACGCCTAGAGTTTTAAATCTATACTTTTAACACTTGTTCCATAGAAACTTTCTGCTCGTCCTTCTTTCCCAAGATGTTTGTGATGGAATTCTTGTGGGGGTTAGATGTGCCTCATTTAATGTAAGCAAATGTCATGTTTTACTTGTATGCAACCCTCAATTTATAGAAGGTTATATTGAGTATGTTTTAACTCTATATCAAATGCTTGAAAAATGCGGTGTGACACCACATTGTCACGACACAGGTATCCCAGATACAACCATAGTCGACCGGATAGCCTCCTCTACACTCTAGTAAGTTAAGCCCCACAAAATTATCCAACATCAAAAGGGGCATTTACATACATACAACTCAGTTCCTATGTATCTATATATCTGACAATTAAATTTATTATTTACATCGATAAAACAATATAAGATAAGATGGTGCATTTATAAACCAACAGGTCGTGGTACGTGGCACGCACGAATACACACACGCGCACACACACACACACATATATATATATAGACACACACACACATACACTAAAGTTGTCAGCACAAATCTCAAAAAATTCGAACGGCTCTGACGACGGTCAGACATTGAGACATTCTATCGTCTTACAAATAATCGCGTGATCAAGAATCAACCAACACAACTATGACGAAAGATCCGAACAGCAGACAATGGCTATAGTCTCGACCGACCAGAGCACGGGCGGGACCTTTTAAACACTGTCAATCAGCCGACCTACTTTTACTGGGGCAGATGAGATCGCCACTTAGCCGGAAGCCTCGGTTGACCGACATAAGGCATGACTGTTACTCAATTGGTCGCCTAGGTCGACCGAATTTAGACAAATCAACCAGGCAATTATTGTCATATTATGATTCAAATTGTAATACATATATGATATGAAATTCATACAATTGATTCAAACATCAAATGAATTATTAATGATTTCTATAACTGCTCCATCGTAATTGTACATAATACAACTTATACATGCTAGAAAATTCGCGGTGGTGGAATAATGTAGTATTTTCTTAGCATTGCAAAAGAATTCAACATATACTTGGGTAAAAAAAACTACCGGAAATGATACCAGAAGTTTTTATATGAAAACCCATAAAGGAAAAAAACCACGAAACTGGCCCAGATGTAAAAATCTATTATAGTTTGATAATTACAATGACTCTTTGTCCCTCATACTGAAAAAGGGTTACTAGGTTTTCAAGTCACAACATCGACTGACGGCTTTCAGTTGGTGGTGGTTGACGGTGAGTGGTGGTGATTGACGGTGGTCAGCAGTCAATGGTGGTTGACGACGACAGTAGTGCTTGATGGCGGTTGGTGGTTGGCGACGGCGGCCGACGGCGATCGACATTGACAGTGGTGGTGCTAGACTTCAGCATATTCTCAAGATTTTACGCTCTCTCGCAAGCCTCCAACCCCCTATCCCTCATGAGAGGGGTGAAGTTATATTTATGATGTTCTTAGTACAATGAATGCAGAAATATTAATCACTTTGATCGAACGGTTCGGAAGGCTTCCTTTAATCAGACTGTGTTTGATGGACATTTGAGTGCTTGAACAATGTCAAAATTAAGCAATATTGAACTTGTTGGATTCATCGAGACGCTCGATTTAATCATAGTCTTGATAGATTCGACATTCGTTTGATTTTTTAAATATGCCCGGAAAACTTTCAAGTGTTATTGAATGACTTGATCTAAGCTTAATTTGACTAATTTTGCTAACATTGGGTTCTTTAGCCGTTAAATTTGAGTTTGCTGAAATTTGAGTTTTGGGTGAGTTTTTACAAAGATTTGAATATTTTTCGCTCAAATTGTTGCCTCAAGAGTTGAGTCATGACTCGAGATTCATGTCGAATGATGGAAATTTGTTGGTGCTGTGCAACATCTCTATAAATATGAGACAAAAATATAAATAAAGGGACCTCTTCCCGGGTCTCTCTATGGAGAATTCTAAACTTGTTCTACTCTCTCTCCCTTCTTCTTCTTTCACTCGGTTCAAACTCGCAGGGTTGTATTCCGATAATTTATGATTCAACAATATATATATTGAAGTTTAGGTATTAGATATGTAAATTTATAGGAATATAAAAAAAATAAAACCATGATAGCATAACATAATTTTTATGCATGACAGTCAAATGAGCAACATAAACACCATATTTACTTCTTGTGGATTAAATTGCTTTTCTTAGAATGCTAAATTTTGACTTACCACTTACCACTGATGTTATTCTTTTTATTCTCTTCATTTCTATCAAATAAAGTCACATTTGTAATTAAAAAGTAGCTTATCTATTGCAAATCCTATCTACCCGAACCCGATCTATTTAACCTGTTTGACATATAAAATAACATTTATTTAGGTCATATTTTGAGTCGCTTTTGGGCCGTGGATTTTCAATTAACTTCGAGTTGGAGGTCAGTTCTTAGTTAATTTTCGGTTGGCAGGTCAATCAAAACAAGTCCAAAAAATTTTAAACGAAATAGGATTACTAACCTAAACTCAACCAAAAATTTATTCGCATCAACCCGAATCCCAAATTTTTTAGTCGAGTTAACATGTCAGGTCACTTTTAGTTGCACTGGTGGCGACTGCTTTTAAAT